CGGCGCTTGACATTGCACAAACTGGGCCACTAAAGGCGTTAAGGGTTTGTCACAACTTTCATCTCAACCTAGGTTGAAAACTCGGAGTGTACAGTGGAAGCTATGGGAACATAAGTAGTGATCTCATAATGACATAACAGATGCTGAAAAACCCACTGCATGATTACCGCCATCGCTTAAATTCCAACCAAAGCATAAACTTGAGAGGTTATTAATAATGTAAGCTGGCAAGGCAACACAACTAGTTGGAACGTCGGCGAAATTTTTTATTTTTGTCCCTGCCGTGGAACGATTTTCCAATCCACCTTACTTGTTGGCCTTCTTATTACCATCCGAATGACTAGTCAACACTACGATGGCGACATTACTTGATACTGCTCGTGTCTACTGAGTGACTACACAACGCGAAAAAGCGTTTTGCTCATCGAAGTTGCCCGCATACACGAGGTAGACCCACTAATATGTAGGTCACTCTGGGTCTAGCAGCACGCGCCTTGTCTTACTGTCATAGCATACTCTACTTATACCCTGATCATCTTATCGGATTTGTGAAGCATGCATTTTTCACCTGTTATAAGCCATTGTACAACTTGGATCCTATATGAAGTGGAGGGCTCCTAAAGAACATACGAACTAAAGTACACTAATGTTACCGGGTTAGATTAGCTTGTAGGATTGGAGGTGCGGGTGCAGGTTACAACGAAGTTACCCTAAAAGTGTCCAAAGAATGCAGGCATCTACGGGGTCATTTATACCGGTCTGTCAAAGGCCCAGTGATTAGCCTCTGGCGATCAGCTTAACAATGGAATCAATTCAGTAGAAATCACGGCCTGCCATAGAAAGTTCGTTAACTAGTCCAATAGCAGAAGGATATTTGTGACTATGATGAGTCATCCTCGAATCGCGCGGACTGTCCATGTCAGAAATAGCGGAAACACCCGTCACCTCCCAGTAGTTAGATTGTGCGGCGTGATACCTACCTAGGAGAACTCTTTTGCATATCACAGCAAAATTAGTGTCCGAACACCGTTTGAGGCTTTGTTAATGGGTGCATTGGTTTGGTGAGCAGTCGTTGCTACCAGGACAACGGTCATGTGCTCATAGTTAAAACACATAGGTGAGCTGATGCATCCACTACAGAAACCGCGGACAGCTTCAGAGTGTATCAGGGGTGTTACGAAATAGGTGATTGGCAGTGAAAATGTTTTGTGGCATGTGTTCTGAGCGAAAAAGTCCTTAGCTTCATGAATATGCTACCAAGGATGCGTATGCCAACTTGGAGACGTATGTAGAAGAAACTGGGTTTAACCAACTTTCGGATAAGTCAAAGCCAATCAATTGCGTTCACTATGAAACAATACGGTTGACAGCCGATGGAACTGTACAGGTCTAACTTTCTACATAATCACACAATACGGTATTCAGCAAAATCGAAACATTATAAGCCACTTTCATGATCTATACTGACATTGCAAAGTAGTCATGCTATACTTAATTTCGGATCAGCAGTAGAGAAAAGGAGACTTAGTGGACCAGATTGTGCTTGAAAGCGAGAAGAAAAGTGTGTTACTTAAGCAGAGTGTTCCGGAAAATGGTGGTCATTATTACACTTCGACTATTCAATTTTTTACCGAGTGTATGCGATTAGTTTGAGCTCCACGAGAGACTGGCATTCAATCGGTTTCCTTCAATATGTTGAAGAGTACGACAAGTCTTCTTTCAAGTTCGTTATGGACCTTTAACGAGAATTCCTGCACGTTGCGTTTTCGGATATTATGATAATTTTCCTGCTAATGAAGAGCAGTGTAGCTGGATTTTACGCATGCTACACAGGCGTACTAGGTGAGGTACATTGATCTGTTGATGCTATGAAAGTACCCCGGTTATCCGATGCATAAATTAAGGTAATGAGACTTTTCGGCTACAGGAAATCCTGCAGAAGTTAAGAGTGATAGGAATGAGTGCGTGCTGGATGTGACTCCTGGCAGTTTGAATCTATCTAATCTCGAAAGCAGATGGACAGAAAGTTTGACCCGTCTCCATATGAACTCAGCAACACACATCACAGTTTACTCTAGAATGACGGTACAACCATGGAGGTCGGTTACGAAGTTATTCGAGGATATTCTAACACGAGCAGTTGTCCGAAGAATGTTGAGGATCATTTTGAAACGACAGAGTGTGTATTTGTTGTCAATCATGACAACAAACTTATTACAATCGCAGTTACAACTGACCAACAGACGGAAAACATAAATGGGCTACCCATAGCGTTCATAGCTATAGTTACTTTGGGGAAAACCAGGCATTAAATGTTGAGTGAGTCGGGGAGAAAAAAAGCAGGTCGCCTATCAGACGAAGGAGAGTTGAATATTGGGTGCAATAGACGCAAGTCGAGAAGAGCAGGCCTGGTTCAAGAGAAGTTGGTTTATCGGTCGACGATTAATGTCGAGACTCAATTCAAAGGGTTTCCTAGAAAGTTAACAAGCGTATTCCATGGGACTAAGTAGAAATAACAGTTAGGTATTTACAACCATGATAAGATCACCAAACTCTGCATCGGCAGTCACACAGATTATCTAGGGTCTTCTTATCCACTGCATACAGCAGGGCGGAGAAGCGAAAACATGCTACTGCTGGCGCTTCCCTTCTTACTTTTCCACCTTTTTCTCTTACTACCATCCCGAACCCTATTACTTACCGTCCTACTATAATTCCCAGCTTAAATGACAGAAACCGAACTGCCACCGGAGTCGATCCATCTGTAGGCGTCTTCACACAACACCCATCGAATGCCTATCAGCAACAGTCCCTTATAAGGTCCCGCTGACCCGTTTCCCTGGCAGCGATCAACATCCGCAATCTAAGAAAAAGAGGTCAACAGCTTGCAAATGCAAACAGCTTGGGCACAACGGGTATAGACTAGTGTTGAGTGTCCAAAACAAGGATCAATGACCCTAATGGGATTGTTGAATTAACTGTGCCCGGCTTGTCATCTCGCTAGTGGTTGCACGCATCCGAAGGCGCTGATGCAGCACTGACGGATCAACCTGAGTCATTGTTGGCTGATTGGATTCCGATGAACAGCCGTTAGTGTGCAGCCCGTTTGACGACGTCAATCAAGGTTGATGCATAAGGTAGTACCAAACGCTGTTTGCTTGTAATTGTTGCTTATGCTTCCACCCACTGCAGTTCTAATGCTGCCGTACGCAATGATGTTCAAAGAATTGAAAGTGCCTCAGATCATCAGAGCGACGGGGCCAAGTCTCACTCCCATAGACTATGACCTTGTAAACACGGGTTTTCAGAGGAAAAATACTCCCTTCTTTCGCCAAAGATGTCGCAGGTTCAAGAAAGCAGTTGTGACTTGTATAGTGCGTGAACTGACATCAGTTTCTATGTATCCGTCGTTGCTGATGCAGCTACTGATGAAAGTGAATCGACCAACCACGTCGAAGTTTTCGTTATCAAGGGTCAAGAGGCCATCAAGTGACTGGTGGTCCTTCAGCAACTCTTTGCGAAGCGCATACCAAATAACGGGACCACTCTAGAGGCTATTCACGGTTGACTGTGCCGTCGCAACATCGTCGAAAAGAAAGACGATATCGTTCGCATTGGCAAGATCAAGTAGTCTTTCATCGCGCAAGACCTCAAGGCCTACAATGAGATTCCGTAGGGGAACGTCCCATGATACAGTCCACGACGAATTTGTACAAAAATGAGGAAATCGGACAACCCTGACGAACGCCACTTGTTCTCGGAAAGGCATCCGACAGATCACCGTAGACCATGACGCGGCCTGTAGTGTTCCAGTAAAGAGCGCGTAAGATGTTCACATATTCCTCGTGAACATCTTCCCGTGCATCGATCTACTGGTTAGAACGCACTCTTGAAGTCGAAGAACACAGCTATTGTTGGCGTGCGGTATGCGCGACACTGCTCTAGCACCTGCCGCAGAGTGAATTTGTGGTCAATACAGCCACGTCCAGTACGGAAACTTGCCTGCTCTCCCCTAATGCGTGATTCTCGCTCCGCAGTGAGGTGACAAAAGAGAATCGAGACCAGTACTTTTGTCAAAACTGGCGTAAAGCTAATACCCCTGTGCTTAGCACAGCCGGTGCGACTGCCTTTCTTGTATATTGCCACCATGATCCGATTCGCTCTTAGCCGGAACACTGTCTTTCTTCTAAATATATTCGAATAGGGAAGTTAGTTCTTTGCAGCGGATCCGCCTCCATTCTTAAGTAGTGCACGTGGCAGGGAATTCGGGCCAGCAACACGAAAAGGACTGAGGGCTGGGATTGCGTTTCGAACCTCAGTCTCTGATGGAACCTCTAAACTATTCGTCCATGGCTCCTCCTGTATCACCTGAGTAGGAGAGGTCCGGTTGAGCTGGTGAGCAACTGAAATAATCTTGAGAGTGGTCTGTCCAACGAATCATGCGGCACTCCTTAATGTCTTTGTCTCTGAGTGTCTCACGCCTTGACCCTGAATGTTTGTTTAAGGCATGAAGCATTTTCAGGTTATTCCTCCTTTCTTTTATTATTCCTCTTTCCATATGTCGTCATAGTTAGATGGCAGCGAAGGATCAGTTCAAGCATCTGACGTACTGTTTGCTATTGTTGGTAGTTTGGTTTATAGGCTTAATGCAGTTCCAAACAAGTGGTCTATATTTGGCTGTTTAAATAGTCTACGAAAGCAGGTGCGGAATTTCATGCACCAATCATCAACGCACTCTCCTTCTTTCAGGATGCCAACCTAACCGGTCCGATATATAAGATGGCACCATGCAACTGTGTTACTGTCAATAGTTAAGTAACGCGAATAGCTGTGTTTTTATGTGGTGCAAATGTAAGCATGGAGGTTCCTGGTAATTCGCAAGATGGCTGTCCGACGTATTTCCTGGTGTGAAGTGGCTGTCTCGCCGCGGTTAGTGACACACGCAGTCCAAATAAAGCAATATGATGGCGCGGTCGGTGGGTTTAGTAAAAGCGACATACCAGTAGAACCACCACCCAAGCGTATGGCGTGTCGTCAATCGACTGACCGGTTCCATCGTCCCGTTTTGTCCGACTAGTTCCCAGGGCAACATAAGCATCCAGGCCAAAGCCAAGGAACAGAGAGCAGAGTAAGTTTGCGTGGTCATGCACATCCCCTCTGTTACGGGCAACGAAAGCCAACGCTAGGAAAAACAGCAAAGTAAGCAGAAACAATTAAGTGACGCTATTAGTGGGAGTCGCAGTGAATAAAATGTATAAAGACGTGTGCCTGTGCAGTTTGTCAGGAAACTACATCACTACTGACCAAGGAGCGAAACGAGTTGCGAGCAGATTAGTGGCATCGCTAAGTACGATCATAAATCTGCGTAAGTATGATAAAACAGGATGCGACACATTCTCACCTGAGCACCATTGTTCTCGAAAAACACTACCGATGCCTCGGCAAGGCTCACATGGTATGGTAGAAACGAACCGAGCAGCCATTGAGGGAGTCTCCAAAATGCGGTCGACTGATAGCGGGCGTACGAATTTGCAGACAAACCTGCATAAATGGGGGGCCAAAAGAGGAAAGTCCACTGAGCTGAGGGGAGATAGAAGCATGCACAGGAATTCAGTATCGTAGATAAGACACTTACTGGGCGTCAGACCTCTCGTCCAAAGCGAAAAGCTTGATCATGCGCTTGGCAAACATGCCTTCACGCAGTTGAGTAAACTCAGCCCACCACTGCCGCACATACAAGGTAAGTGCTTGCTCACGTTGTTTAATCCTGGAGGATTCCAAACTGAAATGGGCCTCCATAATCTCGATGGGGTGCGGCAAGGGTGCGCAATAGTCGGTATGTTCTTTCCCGTGAGCAGCCGCTCTTAGGGGCCAAAGCAAGCGGAGTCGAAGGTCCAAAATGCCGGCAGTGATCTGAAAGAGTGAGGTCACATTACATTTATGTCAAGCCAAAGTGGTGTATCTGGCTGAGTCTAGTTGCGACGAATCTTCTCAGAACCTAGTACCGAGTGCGGGTTAGCCAAAGATCAAAGTAAAAGAACGCAAATGGAGGGATACTGCGCAGCACTGCCGGTTCCACTCGAGAGTGGTCTTCATGAGCAGGCACTGCGTCATCAGAATATTAACAACTATCGGCTAGGGCCACAAAGGTTATAGCGGGATTCTCATGCGTGCGATCTCGGTATGCGCGTGCAACATGACCTAGGTTGTTTGAGGTAGATTAAAAAGGCATCAGAAGAGCAAACCCGAATTTCGGCCTTCTTCGTAAAACGTTTCGGAATTTCGACGCCTTAGTCTGTCAGAAAAGAATTGGTGCGTACGTGAGGCCGTCCGCGGAATATGCTATCCAAGCGTGGCAACCCTGACAGGAGCATCACCTCAACGCGCTCGATACTGCAAAACGTAGGGCGACGAATCAGATCAGTTTGTCCCGCCTTCCTTACTTACTCGGGATGAAAACAGCGGACGTTATCGCCGTCCACGGGGAGACCTCATAATGGTGTATCGGATAACAAAAGACCACAGACACATGTCACCATCTTTTGAAACTCAGCCAAAACATCTCTGGGAGGGGGTCATTAGTTGAAGGCGGCTACGCAGTACAGCCAAATGGAATATCGACGAAACTACTTCTCCCCCGAGTGTCACAGACATGGAACACTTTCCCGGCGCATGTTATTAATGCCGTGTCCATAAAACGCCTTGACAATAACCTGTCACATGTACATTAGGTAACATAGCTTATGACCATCAGATGATGGCAATAGTGCGGAACAAACAGTGGATGGTGTCATAATCGTCCTTAACTCCAGGCAGGAATACTCACACATGTGCGAATGCAAACCTTTTGCTGGGCCATGTATCTCGCGCGTTCATTTACCGACACTATTTTTATCTTGTAAGGTTCCCTCTAACTATCCTAGCGACTTGTCAAACATTTGCTTTTATGCCCATCATAATGAACTTCAAGTGATTACCGAACTAGAATTGCTAGTCTCACTATCCGAATCATAAACCCATTAGTTCCATAAATTGCGTAAAATCTATTAGTGAATAACAAGGCCCTATGTGGTTATGCGGCAGCAAGACCATGTCCCCAAAAGTTAGGTTGACCTCCGCAGTATATCATTTGTTTATGCAAGCTGCGAATCTACCTTTTATCGGATGTTGCGCAAGTGAGCTGAGCTTACCGAATGGTCCTGAGCTGTGTGGTAAAACGACTTCACGCCCAACTGAGGAAAACAGACCTATTCATGTGTGCTTCACAACATAGTGCAAATAACTCGGGTACGTTAGTTACGTGCAACGACGGATGGGCAATTTCATAAGCTGCAAATAAAGAAGTGCTTAATTACTGAAGGTAAGGGTCAACAGAGATTTATTTCACACGACTTATTTCATGCATAGTGAAATGTGAGTAGAATTAGAAGTGTAGACAGAAGAGTAGTTTCGTGTGTCGCCAAATGCACCTAAAGTGACATTCTAGTTCCAAGATTTCCGGATGCTAAACGGAGGTGCGCAGACTCAAATCTGCTTCAAGTAACAAATACTGACGTACATTGCTAATTCTAACAGAGTTGACTGGGATACGGAGCTGACGTGGTCGCTAGGTATTGAGCAAACCGGTTAGAAATATAACAGAAACACGCATCCAGTTACAGCTTGACGAATCACAAAGCTCGCAAATAACCCCATCTCGTTTGTGACCGATCGTGTTCCGGTGGTGTTTACATAACAGCAACACAGTTAAACGGAAGCAATGTCTTGCTTCCGCAAGACAATCGCCAACGATACTGCACGGTCTGTGGATCGTTAATTGCATATGCGAAAAGCAGGTCAGGTTCTTATAGCTTAGAACCAAGGTAGAGCGCAGGATACACTTATCCTTGCAAGTTGTTCGCTTCTCAAATGGTATCAGCTTGCTACGGGGACTCTTACGCCTGATCACTGTCACGCAACACATGGTTTCGGGTTGGCGAGCTACTATCCAGGGACATATACTTAAGTCCAGAAGAACGGGTAAGTCGCAATTCGTAGGCTACGGGGCGAAGGCACGTAGCGTCACTTCCGGTGCAGAAGTGTGTAGGCTGCTCGCTTTGCGTCACCATAAGACGCTGGATAAAAGTCAGTGACGAATTACGGCGCCCCTTGTGAAAAACAAAGTAGGGGTCACCAAGCCTCGTTGGACGGTATCCAAGTAAAAGGAAAGATCAAAGCAGATTACGTACGATTACACATGATAAACAAGCGCGCAACTTTGTACAGTATTTACTAGGGTGTTCACAGACATTTCCCTGGCGGAAGCAATCATGCGCTAATAGATTTTCAGAGTACAATTGTCATAAAAAATGCTAAAATTAATGAAAGGGAACCTTAGAAGTCTGGATGAAAACAGGAAATTGGGAATAGCTCGGTATATAACACGACCGCGTTCTGCTAGCAGAAAATACGGAATTGTTTTTCTCATGTAAAAACAGTTAGATTCACCGCTATTACTGTAAATTTGACGTGCCACAGTACTTAAACGTGGTTAGGCCAAATCAACTTAACAGCGAAATTCAGTACAAATCCCAAATTGCTGTATAAACACGTTAACTAGCTCCTAGGAGTGCAGCGCGGGATCACGGTTTTACGTGCAACATATGTTCTTGCGCAAACCGCACAAGATGTAGCCAAGGTGCTTCACCAACACTTCATCCACACTTTCCGGAGTGAATCATCATTTCGTCCGCTTTGTACCCAGCTTCCATCGCCCCCAGGGTTAACCCACGTATCGTCCACGGCAGCCAATGTGATGAAAATGCTAGTGTCATTGCGCATGTACAGCTCACCTGGTGTGAACGACATCAAACCGAAGGCCTTGAAGACAGCGGCCATGAACCTTGCCGAATCATTAGCCCGGTTTTTTCCACGTTGTCTCGACCACATGCAGGTTCCAACAATGTGGAAACATGGACTAGTCACTCCCAGTTACAAAAGTGGTAATCGTTCGGAGCCCTCGAACTACCGTCCAATCACACTCCTCCCAGTTTTATCCAAAGTAATGGGACGTGTAATTGCAGAGGCGCTCATGGGATATCTTGAGAGCAACAATATCCTAGTGTCACAGCAACACGGATTCCACCAACCTCAATCCTGCACTACAAACTTGCTGCTAGTCCGAGCAAGTTGGACAGAGTCAGACGATGCCAGAGTGGGAGTCGACGTTGTCTACCTGGACTTTACGAAAGCGTTCGATCGTTTGGACCACCGCATTCTCCTGCACAAGCTTCGAAACTATTGAATCGGTGACCCTATACTCGGTTGGATCAGCGAGTTCCTTGCTCAACTTCAACTGAATGTGAGAGTCCGTAGCTCCATTTCCGACCCGATTGACGTCCAGTTTGGCGTGCCTCAAGGATCGGTACTGGGGCCACGTTTATTCCTCACATTCATTAACGATCTTGCCAGTGTACTGTAGTTGAATTTCTTACTATTTGCAGATGATAACAAAATTTGGCATGAGATCAGGCCATCGGACGATCACATGGCATTTCAGAACGATCTCGATAGGGATTATGCGTGGTCATTCAACAACCGACTCAAGTTCAACGTGACCAAGTGCAAAGTCGTAAGCATACGCCATCAGCTTATCTATGAATATCGACTTGGGAACCAGCAGTTACAACGTGCTTCCCAAAAAACGACTTAGGCGTGATCGTGCAGGACGACCTTGGTTGCTCAAGACAAGCTAAAAGGCATCTAAAAGAGCCAGTCAACATCTTGGACTCTTACGGAGGGCCTTCGGCAATTTTGAGCCATCACTCTTTCCGAAAATGCTGAACGCCTACATGAGGCCTCACGTGGAATATGCGATCCAGATCCGGCGTCCCTGGCGCAAGCGCGACGTCGATACGCTCGAAGCTCCGCAACGTAGAGCGACCAAAGTCGTTGGACGATTGTTTCATCTCTCCTACCAACACAGACTGCAGTCCCTGAGATTGTACAGTGGTGAATATCGACGTCAGCGAGGAGATCTAATCCTGGTTTACTTAATATTGAAGAACCCAACACCCATGTCGCAAACTGTTGCAGCTGAGCCGAAATACCAACCTAAGAGGTCATCAGCTCAAACTGGCTAGGCACTACAGTCGACTTGATTGTTGACGCAACGTTTTCTCCCTCCGTGTGTCCCGTGTCTGGAGTGCCCTTCCGACTCACGTTATTCTTACCCCTACATTAACGCTTTTCAAAAAACGTCATGATGAAACGCTTTCAAACTTGCATTACTTGATATATTCTGTTCCACTTGGAGGATGAAACAACGCAAACCTAACCATGTGCTTAACGGCTCTCTCCGCAACGTGGCGGTGAGGATACATGCAGAAGTGTCCATGTGATTAGCCTGGACGTAGTTAAACTGGATTTACCTATCACATCTGTCAAATGAACAAACAAACGTGTGAGAGTTTTCTTTTCCCTTTTTCATTTCTCATGCACTTACGGCATTATAACAGCTCAGTATATTATTTTGCGTGTGCACATCCCATTCCTACCTCAAACTATCCTTATGCAGTAGTGCATTTAAATCGGTGGACGCTTAAAATAATGATTTACTTATTCGAGGGTCCTTCAAATTTTTAATTTTTACTCCAACCATCCTACGGGATTTGTCAAGTACATGCCTTTTTACCACTGATAACTCATTGTTCATTGTTAATTGTTTGAGAAAGTACGCGACATTAATAGGGAGATGCTAGAATGTCCTCTGCGTAGGACGTCGACACCGTGATGTGTTCATCGAACTGGTGGAGTGGTGGCATCGTTGGCACACACATGATGGAAATAGGTAACACAGAGATATGGTAAATACCTGCAATATGGAAACTTTTTTTCTGCGTAACCCACTTTTGCGCAAACAAAGCGAATGGAGAGGGGAAAAGTTGACCCTCATGTGACGACCACAGTTTGCAAGTAACATGTTTAGTTGACTTGGGGCTGTAACCAACAAGCATCAGATAGAATGGTATCTGTGTAAGAACATCAGGATGGGAGCAGTAACTTTGTGATTCAAGTTGAAACGTAAAGTACCCTTTGGGAAATAATCGGTACACAGTGATTAAGTCTCTGACGTACTCAGCCGCGCAGGTCGCGTTGCGAATCTATATACCCAGTTGCAAGTGAAGCGGAGTCTGAATCCTCACCATAAATTGGTTGTTTCTGGCACACAAGTTATGCGGTGGGTGACCGGTCAACAAACTAAGAGTAGGAGGATGACGTAGATCTCTTTGGGTATGGCGCAGTGGGTATACAATCGCTGTTAAATAGGCAGACACATAGAAGTTGTGCAAATGCTTTGCGGTTTCAAAGTGCGAGTTAGTTTCGCATGACTAAAGTGGTGCAATTCTACTGCTTTCCTTCGCCCTACAACCACTCGAGGTGATCCCACAGTTCATGTAACTATACAGAATTCACATCCATATCGGTGGGGCCCACATTACTCGGTGAAGCCCCAGTCATCCGCGGAGTGGTTGAGGAATAAGCTTGTTGATTCAAGTCAACAATGTTGCGGTGCGGTCGAGGTTGTCCTTTGGCTCGGAGACATGGTCTGTATGCGCTGATGGCGCTAAAAGTCTGATTATTCCTAAGCTTTACTGCATGTGTCGCATCGCTCACATCTGACAGGATCACCGTGTGAGCATTACTGATACGGTCCAGTTTGGGCTTGCTAACCAAACCCATGAGCATCACTGAATAATCGCTTATCTTCGGACGCTCCACGTTTGTTTTCTCCTGTCCCTCGCATGTTTATCAATCGACTGCCTGGATGTCTGTTTGTGTGAGTACCACACTCGGATGGCTAAAATCTTCTGTTGGCTGTCCGAGGAATTGATCGAAAGTCCGTAAGAATGATTTGGATCAAGTCAAGTCACATTACTGTATAATGCCCTCGGAAAGGGCCACAGCCATGGTTGGAAATCCTGGCGTTTGGTGCAGTAAGCGCTGCAGATCACGCGAAATGTTTCCATGAGACCATGCTCGGTCCCAATAAGATTTTGTGATCAACACCTCCAGTAAGTCATCGATTATAAAATGACAACAAAAGTACAAATAACCAAAGCTACTATGAGATACCAATCTTGTGTGAGTGAGCGGTCCTCGTTTGCACCATTTTAGGTGCATTCGTCCTATTTAGTATTAATACGCGGTATTATATACGTGAACTGAAAATTGCCTACCTTTGAATCTGGATCGACTCCTCTAAGTTCTAAAGAAACGGAGACTGTCCATGGGAGATTGGGATCGTGAGCTTTACCGAAAATGTATTGGCGCCAGTCCAAATTAACGCTAGACACCAACTTCCGCTTCTGTGTACCGCGTTCGCATGACACGATCACAATGCTCAGAAAACGCCACGGACGCTCTTTTTCCAACAGGATTTGCTGTGGAGTCATCTGATTGCAAAGGAAGGTGACCAAAAAGTAAACTTATCTTCGGTCGCTCGACAACTGATCCGAAAGAAAAATCACGGTCCGAACATAGCACCACGATCATTCTCAAGTTATGCCTCAAATGCTATTACACTACGTACATTATTATTACTACTGGTAATAAAAACACTCAGGGTGCAGACTTAGGGCATTGTTTATGCTTGTAAACAGGTGCGGTACTTCCAACTGGAAAATTCAGCACAACAATTACAAGCGGTAATGCAGTGTGGACTAAGTGAAAACGGATAAAATACCTTGATCCAAAGCTTTTGCACCCAGGAAAAGGTAAGCGCAATTCGATCTGTAGTGGCAGTAGAACTTGGTGTGCAGTTCTACCGGTGTCCACGTGCGCTGCAAAGGCAACTTTACTAGTTAAGAACTAGGAATAGGTTCCGTTCAGTTTAGTTTACTCTAAAAATCTAGGTAATTCAGTTCGCCATTGCTATGTATTTTCTTCGCGTTATCGGAAGGTCACCTCGTAGTTTCCCCCTACAGTTGTAGTACTCACAAAGAGAGTGTCCGGATATTCCAAAACCGTGGAAATCAAAGAAAGGCAATGGGTAAAACTCGTAAAAAAGAATATGAAACCATTTTGCACACACAGATTTTTTGTCATTTGCAAACGTTAGAATATTAACGTAGGGTAACGGATAACAGCAGTTATTAGCACCTGCATAGTAGGCAGGAATGGGATAAAAAATGACAGTAAAACCCAGCGTAGCAGTTGGATACTTCACGGCTACATCAGAGGCCTTGATATGACTCGGTTGCCCAAACTAATAGTGGGAAACTATTCCATGCCTTTGGCTGAATAACCTACTCTCAAGACAGCCATCACTGAATACGTGAAGGCGGTCGTTTGAAAGATATCATCAACTACCTGAGCCGTTTCTTGCCAACCATTGCAGATGTCGTTGCGCCAATCTGCGAACTGAGTCATGAAGGCGTGAAGTGGAATTTCGGCAAGGTGCAGCATACCGCTTTTGCGACCGGTAAGTGCCTTTACAATAATGCCGTATGCTCGAATTTTAAAATCCGACGTGAGTGCTGGAAGTACAATGCTACAGCGGCCAGAGTGGAATAGGTGCCGTTCTCACGCATAATGGAAAATCCCTGGATTTCCGCAGTTTAGATTTCGCATCAGCGGGGCAGCAATATTTACAAATTGAAAAGGAGACACTTGTGATGATCTACGCGAGGGAGCGTTTGAACGGTTACACCTAGGGGAGAAAGAGTACTTGTACACGGACCACAAACCGTTCGTGTCTATCGCCGGTAAATCGTTAGATAATATCTCACGATAGCTGCAGTGTGTTTATCAGTTCTCAAAAGTACGACCTAGATATGGTGCATACGCCAGGCACATACATGTTTTAATCGGAAGCCCTGCGAAGAGCACTGCTGCCGACAGCTGAAGATGAGCAAGAAGATGGAGAGGCAGTAACTCTGATGCAGGGCATGGGAGTGAGAGAGGAATGCGTAAAAGAAATGAGGAGACACGCAGGAGCAGTTGCAACATGTATGGCCTTGACAGAAATGATCCTAAAACAGTGGCCCGTGGTGAAACGCTGGCTTCCAAAGGGACTGACACCTCACTCCCACTGCATAAACGAACTTAAATCCACGACGGCCTGATATGCAACGAAAATTTTATTATAATTCTAATCTCGCTTTGCGGGCAGATGTTGGAACTGTCTCATCACACCCATCTAGGAATTAATTATAGCACTAGTAGAGTAATAGAACTGGTGTTCTGGCTGGAGTTGACGAATAGAATCCGGGATAAGGTGTCAAACTGCGCAGTACCCCATTCCCATGACACTTGCAGGCCAAGGGACTAATGGTGCTATATTATGTTCCAGAACGACTGTCACAGAAAGTGGCAGTGGATCTTTTCTGTGAAAACGGGAAGGGTTACTTAATAACAGTTGCTTGCTACAGTGATTGTTTCGTAATTGATCTACTCATCACCACCATCACTATCAACGCGAAAGGTGTGATAAAAAAATTCGGGTCTAAGTTTGCCAAGTGTGGGATACCGGAAAAACCGACAATAGGTTGTAAACAAGGAGTCTACCCATTGACAAGATAGCCCGTATCATTGCCGGTCAAATGGAAAGGTTGAAGTATCAGTAAAGCTATGAGGTTGCTATTAAAGCCCAGATACGTTGGGGAGGACCCGTATCCAATGCTTTTAGTCTAAGCACAGTGCAGCGCATGTACTGCAGAGTGACAAGATCACTGATGCCCACGTCAGCTATGCTTGTGGCCCGTTTCACCATTACCTTAACAACTGCGGATACCTTTTAAGCAACGGATAATAAAACAAAGACCGTACTACCATCGCGGCAACTGGACATTATCTGAACTGACTTTTGGAAGGGTAGTGTCGGTCCTACTGACACCGGACGTCCACGACCGAAGAGAGAGTGGCGCGGTGACCACTAGTGTAGGAAAAATATCACACGAAGCTAATATTAGAGGAATTATGGTCAGAAGAAACCTGATTCTGTTGCGAGGACAATGCGAGGTGGGCACGAGGTACTTTGCAGCGGCAGCGATGGTATCACAACAGCAGGGACACCGAAGACAACAAGTAACGGTAAAATTCACTCCGTGAAATGACACGCGGAGGTAGAAGGACACAAAAATGAGAGAATGTGATGCAAATCGTGTATCAGATGGAGCAGGCATACCCGTAAGGCTTCCTAGGTAGTCGAGCAGATACGGATCGAACGGCCTCAGCTACTGGTCCAGCTAGAGTCCGTTGGCTGGATGACGGTTCCCGAATGTTACTTAACTTGAGTAGAAAGGAAACACTGACTGTCCCACTGCGTCATTACGAATGGTACTGGTCAGACAACATTTATGATAGCGCTGTGCGAACGAGTTATGCCATATTTTTTCGTCTATTGGCTTTCCTCAAGAAGGCGTTGGTCGCTGTAGGACGGAGTTCTACGACCTCGGCTACTAAGTGGAATCCCAAGAATCATCTGAAGGATTAAATTAATATATAGGTTAGGCTTCTTAGTATGGGAATTGTGCTCTAAATAATTGGGTGTCTTTCTCAAGATTTTCCAAATTAAGTAGTCTCCCACGTCGTAGAAGGTGGTCCAATTGGGACACGCGGTTTTCGGCGAGGTCAACTTAGCAAAAAGTACAGCGTGTTTGTCGATGTGCAATATGCCTCGATATATATCGTCCGTGCACTTCTGTGAACAACGATCTTTATGAATCAATGAAGTTTCTGCTTCGAAGTTTTAAAGAAGAAAGCAGTGGTCCAGGTTATCGAACGCTCTAGGGAAGTCCAGGTATACGAGGTCAACTCGATGTCTGGCATCGGCTGACTTCCTCCAGCTTGCTCAGGATAGTACCATTTTTCCGATGCAGTACCAATTTCCGCGGAATCCATGCTGCTTTGACGCTATTATGCTTTTGCTCTCAATCTACCCCGTGAGAAACCCTCCGATTATCCCTTCCATAACTTTAGATAATACTAGGAGGATGGTGATAAGAAAAGCGTTGGAAGCTACCGTACAATTCTAACTCTTGAAAATAGGAGTAACTATTCCCTCATTCCATATCGTCGGAACCTGCATTTCTTAAATACCTTGTTGGAAAAACCGAGGTAACTATTCGGTAAGGTTAATGGCTACTGTTTCTAATGCCATCAGTATGCTGTTGTCCTCACCAGGAGAGCTGCGCACGCGTTAGGGTAGTAGCCTTTTCATCACATTTGCAGCGGTGAAGAATACGTGGCTTTATCTTGGGGACGGTAAGTTGTGTCATGAACGCGTGAGGTGACGACTGACTTTGGAAATTGCGGGTAAACCGTAGCCGAAGCGCGTTCGCCGCATCTTGTGTACTGAGTGCCAGACTATCTACTGCAGGTAGAACTGGGATCCTTTTTTGCAGCCTCCGTAGCTTGTTTCCGTGCCTGTAGAGCATCTTAGGATTTGTAGTGAATTTCGTCGCTAAATTCTGTAGATGTTCAACTTTGTCATTATATATATATATATATATATATATATATATATATATATATATATAGTTCTACATTGTCATACTATCTCCGCCGCATATGCAACTACGCTCTCGTTCGTATGTTTATTCCCGATATGTTGTTCGTCCAGCGCAGTGTTATACCTGTGGTGCTCTCAATGGCCGGGAATGGTGCAGAATTATTAGAACGCTCCAACTCAGTGTTTTGTGCTTCCTGACAGATGGATGGAACGAATCAATTTATGCCTATTTGCGTGGACCCAAAATGACGCCATTGGTGAGCCAGACGGAACGCAGGTATTGTTCGACATTGTCAGTAAGTCGTTATTTATAGCACGCTTTAGTATTCTTCATGCAGTTGCTCATCTCATGAAAACTTGGCTGTTATTCTTACCTCCACAGCGAAGTCAGACACGTTCGCATTATTACGGTTCATGAGGACATTCCGCAGCAGTTAACAGCTTAGACGGACTACAGCCTCTATAACCAGACGCAAGAATACACGTTACCATGCGCACTAAAAGTTTCCATCCCTAGGTGCTAGTATCCACACAGTGACCGGAGCTCAAAAGCATGGGAACACGTTCGTTCGTCTAGTCCGACAGTGCTTCGCAGTCCCACTCACGGAAGCTTCACAATCCATGCAGGCTTAGTGTCCGACCAGAGTGCCACTCGTACTGCGAGTGACCCCGAGTTATCTTCAAAGGTCCATGTGTGTGTTGCTCATTGTGTATGTCAGCAACACATAGTTCCTCCAGTTAGCTCGCCTCTGTATGCACAGATGAAAGGCCATAAATACTCGTGTGTTTGTGTGTGACGGATTCAAAGGAACACTAGTGAATCCCTTAGCTTGGTCGTCTATCCTCAAACATTTTCATCTTAAAAGCCAGCGATAGTGATGACGCTGCTAGCGTGAATGGGCCGCGTTAACTCCTGGCTACCAAACGCTTGCTGCTTACAAT